ACCACACGTGTCACGGGAGTTTCTCTGTCGAACAGGGCAAACCTTACATAAAGCCAGGACTTGCGTGAAGCATACTTTAGGGTTAGGATCCGTTAGGGTGGGATTTACCCAAGCAAGATTTGAGCAGCTGGGCACAATGGTTAGATATGGAAGATTTAATCAAGTCCCTTATAATGAGCGTACTTGTATTTGCAGAGCTCCAGAGATAGAAGACATAATACATATATTATTTGAATGTCAGTCGTATAAGAAAGAGAGAGATCAGTACCTTGGATCGCACATTAGGTGAAAACTTATCAGGACCCTCATATTAAAACAACATATTTCATGTGTGGTCAGAATTCAAAAATCACATATAATTGAACAAAACAATACAGAAGAGATCTGCATATGTGGCTCTGATTGGGGTAAAATGTAGGGAAATACACAGAAATATGATTTGTATTTAACTTGTTTCATTCTATTTTTAACATATGGTTTTATTAATGTTCTGTGTTTTATATTCTGTACCTTGATATGGCCTAATGGCTATCAATAATAAAGAATGAATGATGGGTGCTAGTAATGGATACTTTATTCTCCCACCTGGCAGCAGCCACCCGAAGCCCCACCATGCTCATGCCACACCTTCCCTGCCACCTGTGCACCCTCGTGCACCCTCCCTGAGCCTTGCTGCGCTTGCTCTGTGCCTCCCTGGCCACTCATGCACCCCCTCACTCTCTCCCTCACCCACCACCAGCCGCTTACCTGCCTGCTGGTTTGCTTGCGAGCCACCTGGGACTTGCAACTCCCTGCTGGCTTCCCCACTGACTTTGGTTGTCGGAAGCCAGCAGTAAGTTGCAAAGAGGTGCTCGCTTAGTGACCCATGATCCTCACTTAACAACAGCAACGGGAACTGCAAAGATTGCTGTCACTAAGCAGTGCAGTCATGTGATGTTGCTGTACAACCACATTGCTTAGTAATGGAAATTCTAGTCCCAATTCCCATCATGACTAGAGGACTACCTGTATGTTTAACAGGGAGAGGCAAGAGCTATGGGCCGAAGGCTTTGCAGGGGATGGAGGCTAAGAAAGCCGTAAAAACTAAGCACAGTTTGCCTTTAGCCTGGAGCAATACATCAAAACGGGAATTAGAAATCTGAGTGCTTCCCAGGTGCAACCTGAATAATTATGGAAGCCAAAATGTTGGATTTGCAAATTGACAGAAGAATAGTTTCTCTCGTATTGGCTTTAGAGTTTTCAGGAGATAAACTGAGTCTTCCATAAGTTTCTTTCTGCTTCTCTTCCAGCAATAGTCAATGTCTTTGAGCAATTCCACAGCAAAAAATTGAGACAGCGAGCCGTGGAGGAATTATATGATCACATCAAAGCTGATGACCAATTTACCAAGTTCATTAGCATTGGCCCTGTAAGTTGTTTTTAAGCATTGTTTAACTCAATAGCTCTGAAATTGAACTTGTTTAGAAATCCTGGCCACCTTCAGATGTAGCCATGAATTGTTCTGCAGGAAACCAAAGGCACCATAGTTTCTCTTGCCTGTACCTGATCCATTTCTTCTCTCCTAAGATCCCAAGTATCTTTGGAGTGCTGTACAATTTGGTTCAGCATCGCTGACTCAACCGCTTGTGTTCTAGATATGGTTGAGATGCAAGAACCATTGGCTATCCTCAGCTGAGCTTGGAGTCCCTTTAGTCCTTGCCTACCATGAAAGGAAAATGGCCCTCCTCTGAAATCAGATCATTTGGCTCCACCACATTTGAATCCATCCATGATGCCCTCAGAGGTGTGACTTAACTCAGGGTGTTGCAAACTGTGATCCACAGAAACTCTGAGAAGTTGAGGGGATTCCATGAGAGAATATTGGTGGGGAAAAGAAAACCAAGGTTCACTCAAACAGTGCCAGTTTTCTATCACTAGAGCTTTGTGTTTTGATAAGCGGCCCTGGGATTTTTTTTAACTTACCAGGTTCCGAGGCCTCAAAAGGTTCAATACCCCGATTTAGCTGATAAGAATGAACAGGAGCAAATGTGTGCTATCTTGCACCAGCACTACCTCCTGCCCTGTTCCTCAGGCAGAGTAGAGGAGTTTTTGCAAAGTATCTGGAATCCTCACCAACTTTCCTGCTTTGCAGTCAGGCTGATCTTACATCTCCTATCAGAAAGGGATGAAGGGAGAGCAAAACCTGTTTGCCTCCTCAACATCATGAAGTATAATATTATAAAGTCTCTGCCTAGCCAACAAACGCCAACCCTTGCCTAGCCCTGGATCCAATTATCCAGTTGAATGTTGTCAAAGAAGAAAGTTCCCTGGTTTTAAGTAAAACATAAACATAGTAAAATAGATAGAGGATAGATAGGAGAAATATTAAATGGATGAAGAAGGCTTATGAGGGCATGTGCTAGTGGTCGTTCTAGAACTGCCTTCAAATTGTGATTTCTGAAACTGCCCTGGACTCATTGAATCAGATGCAGTATGTGCTTGTGGATCAGGTTGCATTTGCCTCTGATTCTCAGATACCTTGGTAGTGAGGAATTGTTGCCCTTGGCAGTCAATTGTTGTGCTCACCTCCCTTCGAAACAGCAGCAGCAGCAGCAGCCCCAGCCCTAGTCTGGAAGCCTTGAATGTGCCTTTTCTTCCTCCTGCACATGTGGAGGAGCCTGCAAACAATGGAAACGTCATTTCTGAACATTCCAGCTGCCCAACAACCTCATCTCATCCCACTTTCCTCTCTTTCTAGCTGCAGTGTTTTCTTCTGCCACCCCAGTCTGCCCTGTAGACTGCAGTAATTAAGAAGGATGTTAATTTTGAGGAGGAAGCTTCTCTGTGCTAAGTGGTGGGAAACACTGTAGCAATGGCCAGTCTGCGGTGGGGTAAGGGATGGTATTGCCAGTGCTGCTCAATGTGTGCTGATGCTGTAGAAGGAGTTGATATGGAAAGGATACGTAGTCCAGCTGTTAGGGGAGATGAGGCGTTCATCTGAATTGAACAGCCATTACACCAGAAGGGCACGATGCATGATGTTTGGACATCAGCTTGAATGGGCTCTTTCCTGGCTTGAAGGTGTCAGCTGTATAATACTGGTTTCCTACAGCCGTGGAGTTAAGCAAGGAAATGCATCAGTAGACATCATGCATTTTTCTTCAAATGGGAATATTCCATGTTTAGAAATGTCACTCCTTTCCAAATAAAATGAACATCATTTTTAAACACTGTATTTTAAATAAAAAGCTAGAATGCATTTCTTGAGGTCCTGTTTTCCAAGGTATTTTTCTCTAATATTTCAGAGTTCAATTCAAAGCTATCTTTGAAAACATCCCTTTGATTTGATGAGAAAGACTGCACTTTTAAATATTTCTCATCTACCTCTACACTTAAAAAGAGGATATTGATTTTCTCTGGTCCATTCCTTTATGTGGCCCTATGTAGGAAAGCCGTTCAGTTATAATCATGGCTGGAGGATGGTCCCTGCATCCAATGACTGTTTTCCCCAGGATTTTTTTTAACATCTGTATTTACAATAACTTGATGAAGAGCTACATTTGTGAACAAGCACAGATATTACCTTCTGATGGCTTTAGACTTTAGAAGGAAAATAATGGTTGTTCTTTCTTTGCCTTTGTAGATATCTAAAACAATTAACATGCTAGTGCGCTGGTATGTGGAAGGAGAGAAGTCTCCTGCATTTCAGGGACATGTCTCCAGAATCCCTGACTATCTCTGGTAAGGCTTTGTTGAAACTCAGTCTTGTCCAGCAGACTTTGCCAACCTGGAATTTTCCTGATGTGTTGGACAGTAAGTCCTAGAATGGGCAATTCTGCTTTGGTGTCCTGGGAGTTGACCTTGCAAAGCGTGAATTCTAGTCTAGTCCAACACAACTGAAAGGTACCGTGCTACGAAGGCCGCTGTGTAGTTTGAAAGTGCAGCATGCCTCTTCCTTTTAAATGCTGTCTACTGTCCCTTAGGAGACACCATACTTTACTCGAAAATACTTTCAGAAAGTAATTCCTGAATAGAGAAGGATTATCTAAGGTTCTGTTGTAGGAGAGAGTTATCCTCTTGAAGAGCACATTAAGGTTCCAGGTAGAAGGTCTTACAAGGTCCACTTTTTCTTATATTTCTGTTGTGGCCCAGCCCCTAGGAAATCACTGCAGAGTTTGAGCAAATCAAATCAAATCAAATCAAATTTTTATTCAGTCACAGACCAGCAAATAGAACAGAGCAGCAGGCCAGTCAAGTAGATAAGATGAGTGATCTAACGCAAGGCTGCCTTTTGAACCACAAAACAGAAACCTGCTTTCCCACATCCAACCCTAATTCAGCCATTGTCTATCATCCAAAAGGCCTTTCTGGGAACGGCTAAGATCCCAGTGCTTCCGCAACTTTCTGCAACATTGGACTCGTGGTTTTTAGCAGTGAAACTTACAGGTGTCTTACCTGTTTGTGCTTTGCCATGCCTCTCACTCAGTGAGGTGCAAGCGTTCACTGCTTGCTTTTTCTTTCCTTGCAGGCTGGGTCTGGATGGCATGAAGATGCAGGTAATAGTTCCTGGCTTATTTTTCTTTTGCTGAGGACCAAACCCATCTCACAGGGCAATGACTGCTGCAGTCTCTGCCAAGAGCTGTGTTTAAAATTAACAATAACAATAATAATTTATTAAACTTATATGCCAGCCTGACTCCCAACAACTTGGTGTCTCACAACAATAAAAGAAATTACAATTAAAAAAAAAGATAAAAGATGGCAAACTTGATGAAGCGAGGGATCTCCCTCTCCCTCGCCAAAGACCTGAATGAAGAGCCAGGTCTTCACGGCTCTTCTAAACAACAGCAGAGTGGGGACCATCTGGATCTTGTGGGGAACCCTGTTCCAGAGGGCAGGGGTTGCTACAGAGAGGGCGCACTTCTGGGGTCCCAATGGATGGCATTATTTAATCAAAGGAGCCCAGAGCGTGCCAACCCTGCCGGTTCAAATCGGCCGGGCAGAGAACTATGGGAAACAGGCGGTCCCTCAACTAACCAGGCCCTGTGCCATGTAGGCCTTTATACGTAACAACCAGCACCTCGAATCGCACCTGGAAACAAACTGGCAACAAGCGCAGCTTGCAAAGCAGAGGTGTTATGTGGGCATACTGAGGCATGCCCATCGCTGCTCACATCGCTGCATTCTGGACCAGTTGTAGCTTTCAGCTGCTCTTCAAGGGCAGCCTCATGTAGAGTGTGTTGCAGTAGTCAGGCCATGAGGCAACTAGGGCATGGGTGACTGTCTAAAAAAAGAGTTTCCAGAGGGGAAGTTGGGATCAGAGGGGTAAGAACTGTTTGTTTGTTTTCTCTCTTTCTCCTGATTAATCTTCCTTTGGCAATTCCCCACCCCCACCGCCAGGCCTTTATGTGTGAGAAAATAAGTGTGATGAAGGAAGTTGTGAGGGCAGGAAGCTGTTATGAGGAGCATTTTTCCTTGCTCCATGTGTGGGAGGGGATACACTTAGAAAGTAATTCCTGAGTAGAGAAGGATTATCTAAGGTTATATGGTAGGGGAGAGAGATCCTCTTGAAAAGCACATTAAGGTTCCAGACAGAAACCTGTTTGTGCTAAAGGGGGAATTCCTGGAAGAGTATCCCTTAGCATACTCTTAGAGGGAGACCAGCTGGAATCGGTTTCGTGTAGTCTGTTGGCTGAAAAATTACGCATGTTGGAACATTTCAAAAAGCAACCAAAAAGTGTCATTTCAAACTACCTTCTCTTTTAGGGCACCAATGGATCACAGCTTTGGGATACAGCATTTGCTGTTCAAGCTTTTCTGGAGGTAACAGCTTTTTTCATAAGTCTTCCTTCTTAGTTCTAAAATACTTTGTAGGAATGTTGAGTAGCTGCTCTTTCCTTTGTCATGATTTAAACAAGATCCCTGCTCGAAAGCCGCTCTTTCAGTTTCAAATTGCCATTCTGAAAGGAAAGTGAAACAAATGAAGCTGCATCAGTTTTCCCCTCTATCCATTCATGGTGCTAATAGCCTTGTTCTGGCTTCTCTTCCTTCCTTGTTTTATTTGCATTTTCAAAGCGGATATAATTAATATCATAACTACTTTGGCTATAACTTGCAGCGAGTGTACATAATATTCTAGCCATAAATCCTGACAAGAAATTAATGGTAATAAAATATTAAAGAAGAAATTACAGCAATTGATCTGAATCTAAAATGGTCTCCTTGCTTTTCTTTAAAAAGTCACAGTGAGTCAGGTTAAACTCTTTTGTTTAAAAGGCTGGTGCCCAGAAGAGGCCTGAATTTGCCAGTTGTCTGATACATGCCCATCAGTATTTCAGAATCTCACAGGTAAGCATGCCACATTCTAGTCCCCGATAATCCTTGAATTATTCCTCCCCAATGATCTTAGAACCACATGTTTGTTCTTGTAATTGCAGATTTTGTGTTTGGCTGCACGTTTGATTAAAAAGGACTAATTGCATCAGAGAACAAACTAATCATTTCTGGTAGTTCTGGTGACACCATGATGTAGTTTTATTGTCTGCATGGTTTACAAATAATAACGATAATGATAGTGATAATGATAGTGATGATAATAATATCATTTACAAAGAGCTAGAGAATAGCTCTTCTTAACAATGAAAGCCCTGAATCTGGAAAATATTACTACAGGGAGGGGGAACGCTACCTCCTTTCCTTTCTCATTGGGGCTGTTTTCCTCAAGCCCATAGCTAGAACTGAGGGCCTTTGTTGTGGTTTCCTCCTGCAAGATGTGTTTAATTCTAATTTTATATCTCCTCCAGGTTCCAGATAATCCACCTAATTATGAAAAGTACTACCGTCAGATGAGCAAGGTATGATTATAAAAGGTGACAGAAACGTGTTTGAAAAGAACTGCCCTTCTGGAGACATGGGAACTAGATCTTAAATTAGCTGTGTGTCAGGCCTAGCCCAAGGAACTCCAAGAGACCATGCCAATTCAGTCCAGCTATGTTTATTAGCTACAACCTCAAGAAAGATTCTTCCCAGACTAAACCCCCATTCCCAAAAGTCCCCCAGCCACAACAGTGTGAATTCCTCAGGGAGGTGCCAGTCTCATCCTCTTGTTCCTCCCTTGCGGTTCTGGCGAGCTAAGAAAATGCTTATCTCCCTGAGCCTAGCCTTCATAGTTCCACTCCATCACACTGTGAAAGCTTCTCTCTGTCCTAGAAATGAGCAACCAGAGTGAATAAACAGGATGAGCAAAGAAGGGCAGCTTTGTGGTTGTTGAGTGGATTTTGTGGCTTGTTTGAGGAGCTTCCTGCATTCCTGCTTGCGCTGCTGAGCGATCTAACGTTGTCAGACGCCAGGGACAGTTGCCCTGTAGGGTTGTGCACGTGGTTGTTCAGTGAAAAAGGCTCTAGCCATCTTTTGGCACTTCCCTTTCTTTTAGATGTGGCAGAAGTGTTCTCGTTTGCCCCAGTGGGCAGGACAGGGTGAGAACTTATTGGCACTGGAACTGATTGCAATGGTAGGTTATGGACTCTCCTTCACACGAGGCATTTAAAGTAGAGCGACCAGATCTGCACTGCAAAAATCTGCATCATTGCCAGAGAAGCAGAGCTTCATTGCTGCCATCTTATGCATACAGGTCAAGATATAAATAAATATTTAGACTTGCAGCTCAGATCCGCTAAACAGAGGCAAATAGAGTATCTTGCCTGGCAATTCCTACCCCAAGGAAGGAGTTGAGGATTTCCAGGAGCTTTCTATGACCTTGTTGCTGACCCCTGAGTGCTAAAGCAATTGTTTAAATCAGCATTTGTGGTCATGCGAGCAAATTACATGCATACATATCCCCTCTGAGGCTAAACAGGGCTATGCAAAGTGCAGAAAGGGAGAAAGAAATAGCATGCCCGAGAAATCAGAGGCATAACAATAAGAACAAAAGGAAATATAGTTGAGCTGAGGTTACAGCAACGCCATTCATCCTATCTCTCCATACTTTTCCATCCTTGTAAGCCATCCTTGATTCCACCATGTTCTGACCCTGCTTCATAGATGCTTTTTGTTCTTTACTCTTTTTCCTTTTGACAATCTCATCAACTCCATCCAGACATGGCTTTCTTAGTCGTTCCCTTTCTCTCAACTCATTGACTTGTCCTTCATAATCTCAGTGTACTTCTTTTGTATTGGTCACTCACTTTTGTATTCAAATAAGATACATTCAGCATCCATGCATTCTTGACTTTCTCTCTCTGTTTGTTTTAAGACACGTATTTCTCCAGGTTATCTTTCCCACTCCATTCAACTTACTTTGATGTTTCACCTGACCTACCCAATTCTAGGGGACAGAAGCCACAAGTATTTTTTTTCCTTCTTTTAACAAACATTCATTCCTCCTAATAGTTTACAAACTTTTGTTGTTGTTCAGTCGTTAAGTCGTGTTGACTCTTCGTGACCCCATGAACCATATTGCGCCAGGCCCTCCTGTCCTTCACTGCCTCCCGGAGTGTGTTCAATTTCACGTGCATTGCTTCGGTGATGGTATCTAACCATCTCATCTTCTGCTGTCCCCTTCTCCTTTTGCCTTCAATCTTTCCCAGCATC